TACACCATCTGATTTAATGCCACCACCAACTGTACATGGTGTTGTCACAATCCTTTAGTGACTGACAGAGATTGATATCATGGCTAGAAAAAAAAAAAAAAGAAAGAAAGAAAGAAAGAAAGAAAGAAAAAGGCAATACTGGAATTTAAACTCTGTCTTCTGACTCCAAGGTCTGGGGTTTTGCCATGAATTAGCAGCTGCCAGGGACCAAAATCAGGGGCAGAGTTAGAACAGTAAACATGAAGCAGGCAGGAACTGCATGGTTTAGAGTCATACATCCTCACATGTCTGTTAGTGTGAAGAAGTGCACCAGTACCTCTCACACTTGCATATCAATGTGTCCTCATGGCAGAAGGCAGCTTTTTTTTAAATCTGGGAATTTTTCAGAAAGAGGACAACCCAAGCCTGATTTCAGAGAGAAGTCTGGTATATACTTTGAAACCTATGTCACTGTCATCCCTAAGTACATTAATGTTTTATCTCAAGACAATCAAGGGAAAAAGATGCTTCAGAAAGATGTCCCACATTCATCCTGTGGCACTCAAAGTACCCCAGGGTTGAGATGATATGAGCAAGATTCAAAGTGTCCAGTTTAGTTTCCCAAGATCTACTCCACTGAAGATGAGCTAATCTCACTTCAGAGACCACTGACTGAAGGGCTGTCTGGTCCCAGAACTGTGGAGAACTCAGAAAAGAATGTTAAGGTCTCTTGCAAAGGTAGAAGCCTGGGAGAAAACCAAACCAAACCCGTTCTCCCATGGCCACCCAGAGATACTGTCAACGTTTTGAGCACACGGGGGAAGTGCAGGCTTTTCCCACTGTCATTGTCTATGTGAAGGGAGTAAGGCAGCCTGAAACCTCTTGCTCCTGGGTCCCATAGTGCCCATTCCCCTTCCAACTGGAAATTTGTGCTGCAACCAGAGGAACAGGAAACGGGGTGAGAAAACTTAGGGGACTGGGTTGTAAGATGAAAGCTTGGTCTTGCAGCAGTAATGACAGTTCCTAGGAGGACTGTGACATCACCACATTCCATTCCTCCCAGGGGAGGGGATCATGTCAGCGCGATGCC